GGGGCCCAGAATGTGGAATGACCTTCCCAACCATGTTAAAGACTGTACCTCTCTCAACCAGTTTAAGATAAAAACGAAGCTATACCTAATAAATTCCCTGTAACCTACCTTACCCCTCTGTTGTCAACCCATGTATGTTTTTTGTTTTTTTTTTGTTTTTCAAATCAAAGCTGTTTGAATGTAATTTTCTGTAATAATTTGTAATTGTATTTGTGCTGCTTTTTCAGCCATGTTCCCCCTCTTTTACCTCTATTTTTATTTGTTCTCAACACATTTTATTCTTTTTACCCATTAGTTTTAAACTTTAGTCATTAATGTTTTTCCTGCCCGAAACGCTTTGCGTAATAGTGGCTTTAGGCATTGTATGTACTAGCTCTATCTATTAAGCCAACAAACTTTGTAAAATCTCTTTATGTATGTACCTTACCTAAATAAAAATTATTATTATTATTATTATAAATTATTATTATTATAATCGTGACTGCCTCCCAGCCGTTATGCGACTGCGTCAGTCTCTTATTTTGTCTGCCTTATCTTCAGTTCGTCTCACTCTCTTTCACTCTCTAACTCCTTCTGTCTCTCTCTCTAGTTCTCTCTAGCTGTCGCTCTCTCTTTCTAGCTCTCTCTCTCTCAACTCACTCTCTAGCTCTCACTCTGTCTCGCTCTCACTGCATGTTTTCTTACTGTCTATGTCTCTGTATCTCTTTATCATATATATATATATTATATATATAATATATATATATATATATATATATATATATATATATATATATATATATATATATATATATATATATATATAGAAATATATATATATATATATGTCGTACCTAGTAGCCAGAACTCACTTCTCAGCCTACTATTCAAGGCCCGATTTGCCTAATAAGCCAAGTTTTCCTGAATTAATATATTTACTATAATTTTTTTCTTATGAAATGATAAAGCAACCCTTTTCTCTATGTATGAGGTCAATTTTTTTTTATTGGAGTTAAAATTAACGTAGATATATGACCGAACCTAACCAACCCTACCTAACCTAACCTAACCTATATTTATAGGTAAGGTTAGGTTAGGTAGCCAAAAAAGCTAGGTTAGGTTAGGTAGGTTAGGTAGACGAAAAAACATTAATTCATGAAAACTTGGCTTATTAGGCAAATCGGGCCTTGAATAGTAGGCTGAGAAGTGCGTTCTGGCTATTAGGTACGACATATATATATATATATATATATATATATATATATATATATATATATATATATATATATATATATATATATATATATATGGGCCGGGGTTCATCGACGTTATACTCGTTTAATTGCGCTCACTAATTCACACTAACAGTCTACATTTAATAGGCATTCATATTACGTGTCAATATCATCAGGGCTCTTAATTGTGAATGTGTATATAATACCGGCATAATAAATTGCTGGTGTAACTTGTCAAGTTATCGTTGGCTTCTGCTTTTTTTTTTTTTTAGTTGGGGGGGGGGAAATCGGTCGTGATCATGCCTTTCTCTGCACTCACTCCCTCCTACACGTCTGGTAGGCTTGGCTACTGATCCTATACATATCTTTATGCGCTTATACATATCCCGAGTTCGATTCCCGGTCGGAACTGAAATGGTTGGGCACCTTTTCCTTCTTCTCTTATCTATAAAGCCAACAAACTTTGTAAAATCTCTTTATGTATGTACCTTTGCCTAAATAAAAATTATTATTATTATTATTATTATTATTATTATTATTATCAGATGCATCTGTTCACTTTGTATTAAATAAGTTTCCATGAGTTGAACAATTGGTGACGTGGGTTGCCTCGTGGGAGAAGTTGATTAATAGTTGGGCTGTTATAGGGCGACCCGGATAGCTCTACTTAATGGCTTCCTTTCCCCGACTATGGAGAAATGTTGAGAGATGCACCATATATATCTTCAGTTCCCGGAAACCACTGATTTTTCTACTAAAAAAAACAAGCAACGAATTAGATAATTATTTGTGAGAAATTAAAAATTTTAAGGCATACAACGCATCATACAGAACATATTCATGTGAATATATCATGCCCGAAACGCTTTGCGTAATAGTGGCTTTAGGCATTTTATGTACTAGCCCTATCTATAAATCCATCACTCTGTAAAATCTCTTTTATGTATGTACCTTACCTAAATAAACATTTGATTTGATTTGATTTGATAACACATTAATAATGATTATTTTGTACAGTTGCACAGTCAGCCCTAAGAAAATGATGGATTCTGTGTATGTACAACTAAAAGTTTGTGATTTATTGCTCTAGGAAGCCAACACAGAGGCTAAATGAAGTGTTACATAAAGTGCAAGCATTAATTGCCAGTCACAATGAGAAAAATATGCACGTTGCTGAGTGCTGTCGCGCGCACACGGACACAAATGTGCTTAATTGAACAGTCTTTGTGGCGCAGTGGTTTGCAGTGCACTTGTCCGGCGCTTTGCAAACCCTTTGGCCAGGGGTTCTTATCCTACCCGGGGAGGATTGATAGTGTGCAAGACCTTAATTAATAACTGTAGCGTATGTTCACCCAGCAGTGAATGTGTGCCTGGTTGTTAAACGATTTAGCGGGTCGTATTCCAAAGGATAATTAGGATTAAGGACCTCCCCGAAACGCTATGCTTACTAGTGACTTTACAAGAATATGAGAACTTTTGTATATTGAAAAAAATAATAGAAACAATTGCATTTCTCATTGATAATAGGAATTTAGGATTCGATGAGTCCCTCATCAAATTGAAACGCCGAACAGAAAACGGTAGAATTGTAGGTGGGTCAAACGCTTTGCTCCAACACTAGTTAATTCGTCTTTCGATGTAAATGAAGTGAAATTCCTATGTTTGTGTGCCCTCTGAGGGACGCATAACATAGAAGACGGTTAATGAACTACTTGCGCTCACCTGTGGGATGGTAATTTAATTTTCCTTCCCACTTATTAGCTAATTATTTGAATAGGCAACTCGAAGCACTCTGTGTTCCATATCACTACTGTATTGAATTCCTATCTTGATTTTCTTGATGTAAATAAGATGTAACGTCCTATTTCTTGTATCAAGCTTACCCATGATAAATTCCAAAACAAATAAAAATCAATGTTTTAAATGCCAGTTCAATTGTAGGGCGGCCCTAACATAAAGATAACTGTGAGTGTGGTGGTACCCAGTCGTGGCAGGTGCGTGTTGCGTGTTAGAATGTCTTAGCATACTTACCTGGCACAGGAGACACGGTGATCACGAAGGCCGTTTTCCCAGGGCGAGGCTCACCATTGCACTCTGGTGGCGCTGACCCTTGCGATTAACCCAAATGTGGTTAACTCGGGTGCGAAATTTTTTTTAGCGGGGGACTGCGTTCGCGCTATCCCCCTTTGTAATTGCCCATGTGTTCGTAAAGTTGGTAAATGACATAACAGCTATACTAAGTTATTATTATTAACATCTTTATTGACAAAATTAATTACAATTTTGCCTAATCTGAGGATTTTGATAGTCTTATTAAATTGAGGTTAATGCTAGTATTCACTGTCACGCAGGACAGAGGGTCATACATAAGACAATAGGTCTAAACTGTAGGCTGAAGCACATATATATCACGGTTACAATCAATGTTTTAATGTGTGGATATGTGAAAACAACTTTCTATTGTGCACTGCCACACAAGGGCAGGGATGGGTTCATAAGTGATGCAGCTTAGAATATAAGTAGAAATTGTTCTTCATTCTTTAAAATGGACAAGCAAATTTTGGGTAAATTGTTAGGATGTCGTCCAGAACACCTGAGTCAATAAAATAGTTACACAGTTGGTGGTACAATAGGCCAGGAGGTCTAAAGTCCTTTACGGTTTCACATTCATCAATATAGTGTTCTAGTGAATGCATTAAAGGTTTATCACAGAGTTTACAATCTGAATATTCTGGTAGTGGCTCAGCCTCACTAACCTGCCAGATGTGTCTATAGCCAAGGCGAATTCGCGCAATTACTACATCACATTGCCTGGTCCGGTTACTGTGCTGACCATACAAATACCTATTATTACAGAACTTGTCATAACTTTTAATACTGCAGCTTTCAGGTCTCTGTGCATTTCTTAGTTCTTCTAAATCTGAATTAATTTCTTTAATTTGTATGTTTCTAATAACTGCATTAGATAGTCCAAAGTCATAATCAATGTTTTCTTTCCTGCAAGCCTCATTGGCCAATTGATCTACAAAGTCATGTTTTTCAACTCCAACATGGGATGGGATCCACACAAATTTTATACAAGAATTATTATCATTGGCAAAAATTACATTCCATTTAATATTACAAGCTACTTCCGACATACATTGTGATGGGTTATTTAAGGACTGCAGAGCACTTTTAGAGTCACAGAAAATAACTCCACCACCATTGAGCTTAAGGTATTCAGTGGCTAGATAAATACCCAATAGCTCGGTCTGTGTCGTGCTTGCCCAGTTGTTCAATCTCTGACTGTCAATAGCTTCTAATGTTATACATCTCAAAATGTCAGTGTTATACATTTGTTTTACACTGATGGGAGTATAATGCAGAGAGACCTCCACATCTTTCCAAGGGGGAATATAGTGAACAGTTTTATCAGGGTTAAGAGATACATTCAGTTTCTGAAGATTATAGACACAACAACTGAGCCACACACTGTAGGGAGCTTTTTGCGGTGGATTGAGGGAACAGTCAGAATTGTTTAGAATGGATCTCAATTTAATTTGAATAGAGCTGGGGGGACCATTATTTTTCAAAGTTTTGGCGCAAAACATAGTACTAAGTAGAAATATTCTTTCGTAAATGGAAGGTAAGTTTAGTTCCTTTCTCATGTTAACAATTCTGACAGTTCTAGGACAACCCAGGATGATGCGCATGGCATCATTCTGTACTACATCTAGGCCTTGTAATTGTTTAGGAGAAAAATTAAGAAGATGCAAGGCATAATAATCAACAACAGATCGTATAACTGACAAGAAGGACAGACGACTCTGAGGGAGGTCTGTGCTCAATGGAAAAAAGTGCTTGTAGCAGTGTCAAACGAGCATTAGTTTGCCTTCCTTTCCAGCTTCTGGCCAGGTAAAGCAATAACTTTTTAATTCAAAAGGGTTCCTCTCCCTATTTCGTTTAGAAGCTGATTACGAAATTTGCCTCGACAAATTTTAATTTGTTTCTTGTTGTCCATTCCACTTGATTGCCTTGCTTCTTTGTTCACTGCCTTGTTATAAATATTTTGTATTTATAACAAGATATGTGTGAAACATCCTGTACTTTATCAGTGTTAAAGAGGAGAGTGATTATAGCTAAAGCTCTATTATCTCATTGATATGCATTTAGCGCTATCAAAGAACTTGTGCCACATAGCGTTTCTCTTCATGTTTTACTGTTTAAAAGTCAAAACATGAGTTAAAAGGCCGCTGCACCAAACCCAAAATTTAGATGATTATACGTTCATGCGGCGCCAATATCTTGATCATTGTATCTAGAGCAGGTAAAAATATTGACGTGTCTGCTTTCCCTTGACCTTGATCATTTACAATTAAGAGCCCTGATAATATTGACACGTAACATGAATGCCTCTTAAATGTAGGCTGTTGGTGTGAATCAGTAAGCGTAATTAAACGAGTATAACGTCGATGAACCCCGGCCCATATTGGGGGGGAGGGGGGGGGGAAAGGAGTATTTTCAGTGCCTGTAAATTCGCCATATATCCCTGATAGTAAGCCTTTGGTCGTAGCTAAGCGGAAAAAAAACAAAAAAATACCTTGATCTCAGGAGAGTTGCTCATACACAATTTATCTGTCTTTGTTAAGTGGGATCTTACAAGTTCTAACAGAACACTTAACAGAGAAATAGGGGGATGATTTTAGACGGATATCAGTTATTAATAATAATTGAAAATAGAACAAAAAACATTGCGTATTTTGTACTTTCCTACGTGTGACCCCTCTAAACAGTAGTTTTTACTAATTAAATCCGTTTTGTTTATGCACATATTATATTCGATATACTTTACATAACGAGAATATTATGTCTCCCCTCGGGGAGAGGACCAATCCTAGAGGTATTGCAATTCCGGGTCACCCACGACATAGTTAGAGCAAGCACTTCCCTCAAGATCCAGAAACCGGATAAATGTCTAGGATTCTACATAAGGATCGTATCAAACACTTAGCCGAGAAGCGATAAGAATCGCCAGCCGTTACAAATGTACGACCGCCAAATTTTGTTCGCATGCTACAAGTGTACTCACCTATTTGTGCTTGCGGGAGTTGAGCTCTGGCTCTTTGGTCGTGTGTGTGTGTGTGCGCGCGCGTGTTTAAAAATGATTAAAAGTCACGATTGTGCTTAAACGTAAACGCATTCGAATCACAGCCTAAAGGTCCCGGATTCGTTTGCAGGGGTAGGACACGAGTGCTTAGGCAAAGCTCGCTTCTTTTCACCTGTTGCCACTGTTCACCTTGCAGTAAATAAGCTCCTAACACTTTGGAGTTAGGTAACTGCATCCAAGGGAATGACCAACTGACACCATTGTTCAGCTGCTAGTGGAAGAGGAGAAGGCGAATTAGGGAGGGTTGCCAGATGGGGAATTAATGATTTAATTTTGAAAGATAGGTAATATAATTTAGTTTTGTTTCTAGTATATGTCTGTGTTTGTATGTACGTACGTACCCAATTGAAGAAGACTGATGGTGACAGTAAACAAGTGTAAATATTATGTTAATAACAAGAGAGGATATTGCCGGAATAGTTAGTGTTTATGAATCTATTTTTCAAATATAAATATCTAACGGATTATTTTTTACTTTTTTGGTACTGTTTATCGATTTGCTCTGATAGACCATTCCAACTAGGTTACTTATAAATATAAATACACACAGGTGGATACAGGAACAGAAGACTGCCGAGTCATGTTAATTAGCAGGCTGAGAGCCGTCGCTTCCCAGAGCCTTACCCACTATGTATAGTTCCCCTGAAATATTACCTGCCAATCGTTTAACAACTAGGTACACAGTGCTGCATGAATAGAGGAGTACATTTAAGGATAGGCGCCTAGTCCATTCTCCCCAGCCACAATGCGAAACTTTGTGAAGAATATCTGTGTTCTATTTGTAAAGAATACCTTGCAAGAATTAACAATTTATTTTTCAGACATATTTAGAAATACGTGATTCGCCAGCCACAATCGTGACTACCTCCCAGCCGTTATGCGACTGCGTCAGTCTCTTATTTTGTCTGCCTTATTTTCAGTTCGTCTCACTCTCTTTCTCTATCTCTCTTTCACTCTCTAACTCTTTCTGTCTCTCTCTCTAACTCTCTCTCTAGCTCTCACTCACTCTCTAGCTCTCACTCTCACTCTAGCTGTCTAGCTCTCACTGCATGTTTTCTTACTCTCTCTCATCTGTATCTATATCATATATATATATATATATATATATATATATATATATATATATATATATATATATATATATATATATATATATATATATATATATATATATATATGTAATATATATATTATATATACACACACACACAATATGGGCCGGGGTTCATCGACGTTATACTCGATTAATTGCGCTCACTAATTCACACTAACAGTCTACATTTAATAGGCATTCATATTACGTGTCAATATTATCAGGGCTCTTAATTGTGAATGTGTATATAATACCGGCATAATAAATTGCTGGTGTAACTTGTCAAGTTATCGTTGGCTTCTGCTTTTTTTTTTTTTTTTTTTTTTTAGTTGGGGGGGGGGGGGGGGGAAATCGGTCGTGATCATGCCTTTCTCTGCACTCACTCCCTCCTACACGTCTGGTAGGCTTGGCTACTGATCCTATACATATCTTTATGTGCTTATACATATCCCGCGTTCGATTCCCGGTCGGAACTGAAATGGTTGGGCACCTTTTCCTTCATCAGATGCATCTGTTCACCTTGTATTAAATAAGTTTCCATGAGTTGAACAATTGGTGACGTGGGTTGCCTCGTGGGAGAAGTTAATTAATAGTTGGGCTGTTATAGGGCGACCCGGATAGCTCTACTTAATGGCTTCCTTTCCCCGACTATGGAGAAATGTTGAGAGATGCACCATATATATCTTCAGTTCCCGGAAACCACTGATTTTTCTACTAAAAAAAAAACAAGCAACGAATTAGATAATTATTTGTGAGAAATTAAAAATTTTAAGGCATACAACGCATCATACAGAACATATTCATGTGAATATATCATGCCCGAAACGCTTTGCGTAATAGTGGCTTTAGGCATTTTATGTACTAGCCCTATCTATAAATCCATCACTCTGTAAAATCTCTTGTATGTATGTACCTTACCTAAATAAACATTTGATTTGATTTGATAACATTTTGTACAGTTGCACAGTCAGCCCTAAGAAAATGATGGATTCTGTGTATGTACAACTAAAAGTTTGTGATTTATTGCTCTAGGAAGCCAACACAGAGGCTAAATGAAGTGTTACATAAAGTGCAAGCATTAATTGCCAGTCACAATGAGAAAAATATGCACGTTGCTGAGTGCTGTCGCGCGCACACGGACACAAATGTGCTTAATTGAACAGTCTTTGTGGCGCAGTGGTTTGCAGTGCACTTGTCCGGCGCTTTGCAAACCCTTTGGCCAGGGGTTCTTATCCTACCCGGGGAGGATTGATAGTGTGCAAGACCTTAATTAATAACTGTAGCCTATGTTCACCCAGCAGTGAATGTGTGCCTGGTTGTTAAACGATTTAGCGGGTCGTATTCCAAAGGATAATTAGGATTAAGGACCTGCCCGAAACGCTATGCTTACTAGTGACTTTACAAGAATATGAGAACTTTTGTATATTGAAAAAAATAATAAAAACAATTGCATTTCTCATTGATAATAGGAATTTAGGATTCGATGAGTCCCTCATCAAATTGAAACGCCGAACAGAAAACGGTAGAATTGTAGGTGGGACAAACGCTTTGCTCCAACACTAGTTAATTCGTCTTTCGATGTAAATGAAGTGAAATTCCTATGTTTGTGTGCCCTCTGAGGGACGCATAACATAGAAGACGGTTAATGAACTACTTGCGCTCACCTGTGGGATGGTAATTTAATTTTCCTTCCCACTTATTAGCTAATTATTTGAATAGGCAACTCGAAGCACTCTGTGTTCCATATCACTACTGTATTGAATTCCTATCTTGATTTTCTTGATGTAAATAAGACGTAACGTCCTATTTCTTGTATCAAGCTTACCCATGATAAATTCCAAAACAAATAAAAATCAATGTTTTAAATGCCAGTTCAATTGGAGGGCGGCCCTAACATAAAGATAACTGTGAGTGTGGTGGTACCCAGTCGTGGCAGGTGCGTGTTGCGTGTTAGAATGTCTTAGCATACTTACCTGGCACAGGAGACACGGTGATCACGAAGGCCGTTTTCCCAGGGCGAGGCTCACCATTGCACTCCGGTGGCGCTGACCCTTGCGATTAACCCAAATGTGGTTAACTCGGGTGCGAAATTTTTTTTAGCGGGGGACTGCGTTCGCGCTATCCCCCTTTGTAATTGCCCATGTGTTCGTAAAGTTGGTAAATGACATAACAGCTATACTACTCTCATTTGTTTCTTTAGCTAATGTTCAAACCTCTCGCAAGGTACTTTTTTCACAAATATGCATATATTTGGTGTGGTTTCATCTTTTAAGCATGATACCCCTTGAAAATGCACAATTCAAGACTTCGTGTGTAGAAACGTCGATGTGGAGCCCTCCCAAATTCGTTTTCTCAAAGTTAGTGAGGAATTGGAAGCCTGTAACTATGCTTATATGGAGGTTTCCCTTTGCTAATGATTAACCTTCGTCCCCCAGGATGCTTGTCAATTGCGCTACATGGTCACCTGCCTCAACATTCAATAATTACGTCTGTGAAATACACTGACAAGAAGGACAGACGACTCTGAGGGAGGTCTGTGCTCAATGGAAAAAAGTGCTTGTAGCAGTGTCAAACGAGCATTAGTTTGCCTTCCTTTCCAGCTTCTGGCCAGGTAAAGCAATAACTTTTTAATTCAAAAGGGTTCCTCTCCCTATTTCGTTTAGAAGCTGATTACGAAATTTGCCTCGACAAATTTTAATTTGTTTCTTGTTGTCCATTCCACTTGATTGCCTTGCTTCTTTGTTCACTGCCTTGTTATAAATATTTTGTATTTATAACAAGATATGTGTGAAACATCCTGTACTTTATCAGTGTTAAAGAGGAGAGTGATTATAGCTAAAGCTCTATTATCTCATTGATATGCATTTAGCGCTATCAAAGAACTTGTGCCACATAGCGTTTCTCTTCATGTTTTACTGTTTAAAAGTCAAAACATGAGTTAAAAGGCCGCTGCACCAAACCCAAAATTTAGATGATTATACGTTCATGCGGCGCCAATATCTTGATCATTGTATCTAGAGCAGGTAAAAATATTGACGTGTCTGCTTTCCCTTGACCTTGATCATTTACAATTAAGAGCCCTGATAATATTGACACGTAACATGAATGCCTCTTAAATGTAGGCTGTTGGTGTGAATCAGTAAGCGTAATTAAACGAGTATAACGTCGATGAACCCCGGCCCATATTGGGGGGGGGGGGGGGGGGGAAAGGAGTATTTTCAGTGCCTGTAAATTCGCCATATATCCCTGATAGTAAGCCTTTGGTCGTAGCTAAGCGGAAAAAAAAAAACAAAAAAATACCTTGATCTCAGGAGAGTTGCTCATACACAATTTATCTGTCTTTGTTAAGTGGGATCTTACAAGTTCTAACAGAACACTTAACAGAGAAATAGGGGGATGATTTTAGACGGATATCAGTTATTAATAATAATTGAAAATAGAACAAAAAACATTGCGTATTTTGTACTTTCCTACGTGTGACCCCTCTAAACAGTAGTTTTTACTAATTAAATCCGTTTTGTTTATGCACATATTATATTCGATATACTTTACATAACGAGAATATTATGTCTCCCCTCGGGGAGAGGACCAATCCTAGAGGTATTGCAATTCCGGGTCACCCACGACATAGTTAGAGCAAGCACTTCCCTCAAGATCCAGAAACCGGATAAATGTCTAGGATTCTACATAAGGATCGTATCAAACACTTAGCCGAGAAGCGATAAGAATCGCCAGCCGTTACAAATGTACGACCGCCAAATTTTGTTCGCATGCTACAAGTGTACTCACCTATTTGTGCTTGCGGGAGTTGAGCTCTGGCTCTTTGGTCGTGTGTGTGTGTGTGCGCGCGCGTGTTTAAAAATGATTAAAAGTCACGATTGTGCTTAAACGTAAACGCATTCGAATCACAGCCTAAAGGTCCCGGATTCGTTTGCAGGGGTAGGACACGAGTGCTTAGGCAAAGCTCGCTTCTTTTCACCTGTTGCCACTGTTCACCTTGCAGTAAATAAGCTCCTAACACTTTGGAGTTAGGTAACTGCATCCAAGGGAATGACCAACTGACACCATTGTTCAGCTGCTAGTGGAAGAGGAGAAGGCGAATTAGGGAGGGTTGCCAGATGGGGAATTAATGATTTAATTTTGAAAGATAGGTAATATAATTTAGTTTTGTTTCTAGTATATGTCTGTGTTTGTATGTACGTACGTACCCAATTGAAGAAGACTGATGGTGACAGTAAACAAGTGTAAATATTATGTTAATAACAAGAGAGGATATTGCCGGAATAGTTAGTGTTTATGAATCTATTTTTCAAATATAAATATCTAACGGATTATTTTTTACTTTTTTGGTACTGTTTATCGATTTGCTCTGATAGACCATTCCAACTAGGTTACTTATAAATATAAATACACACAGGTGGATACAGGAACAGAAGACTGCCGAGTCATGTTAATTAACAAAAGACAGAAGAGGCACGCTCCAAAGACAGAGGAGCACATAAGCATACATACCATAAAGAACAAAAATGCACAAAACATAAAACCCATACAAGGCAAACAAAAAGGCCCACGCAGGAGCCAGGGAAAACATAAAAACCACACCCACACACAAGCACACCCAAACGAAACACACACCCACAGGAGCAACCACAACAGAACAAAACAACCACACACACACACACACACACACACACACACACACACACCCCGCCCAACCCCCGCCGAGGAGGCCCATCGGAGGACCGGGGACCGAAAACAAACCGGAACAAGACCCACCCAACCAACCCACAGCCAACATCCACGAGCCCAACCCACGACCAATCACTCAAAAGCAGCCCCACGAACATACGCACCAGTAAACCAACCACAAAAATCATCCGGAAAAGCACGCTGCAGCCACCACCAGGTGAACCGTAAGCGCCCTCTCAAAAACCCCATAACCCTCCCTCCGGCCAACCCACACACAATACACATAGTCAGCGACAAGAAGACAGAGCGTATTACGCACCCGTCGAGAGCCCCGCGGAAAAGACAAAAACAAAAACGGCAAAAACCCACCCCGACATCCCGGCCCACAAACCACGGCTAACACAGCACGAAACCAAGCAAGCAAACCACTCAGCCTCTCACAAAAATAGAAAACATGTAACTGAGTTTCAGGCAAACCACAGTGGACACATGCGTCAGAGGCACGCAAACCCAGCATGCACAACCGGTCATTTGTCGCCAACGACAAATGCAACATGCGAAACAACAACTCCCGCTGCTGCGGCGCCAAAAACCGCGCCCCTAACGCCGCCCACACCTCCCCCCAATCCCAACACGGGACTAAAGACTCCACCCGCGGCTGAACACGACAAAATAGAACCCCATAAATCGCCTTCACTGAGAGAGACATATAACCCGGACAACGACAGACTGCCCGAAGAATGTCTACCGCCCAGGAGTAAACAGGAGGGGTACAAAAGGCCACCTCCCGACAAACACCGCAATCCACCAAAAAACTAAACCGGACCGAACAATAAAAAATACACAAAGCATTGAGCCCCCCACCCAACGCTAAACCCTGACGCAACGAGACCCAGAACAGCGCCCGAGCCCTGGTAAACACATCAGGAATACCAACCCCACCTTCCCGCACCGCTAACACCAACGTCGAGCGACGAACCGGGTGGTAACGACCACACCACACGTACCTATAAACCTGACGTTCCAATTAACCCCAGAGCCAGCCGGCGATCTAGGGGGAAACACCGAGCCACGAACCAGACACGTGACAGAACTTTACAAGTAACAAGCAACGCCCGCTGATAAATTGTTAACGGGCGCGCAGCCAACAACCCAACCGCAACACCAACACTACGAGAAACCGCACCCCAATTAAATTCCAAAGATCTCTCGTAAGAAGCGAACCAGGTGATCCCCAGAACTCGCAGAGAGGATACCACCGGAAACCAAGACCCCTCCCACACAAGGCGCGAGGACCACCCACCGATACCCATAAGACCTGATTTGGCACGATTGACCTGGGCCCCAGTGGCCAACTCAAACCTCTCAACCACGACCTGGACAGCCCGAACAGAACCAGCAGAGGCCACGAACAGGATGGTATCATCCGCATAACCGCAGATGGGTAACCGAAGATCAGAAGGCAGCCGGGGGGGACGGATCAATGCACAAGCCTTGACCGCCCGAAAAAAAGGCTCCTGAAAGAGCACATAAAGGAGCATGGAAAGCGGACAACCCTGCCTCACCGAACGGCGGACAGGGAAAGGAGCACTCAAGAACCCATTGATGCAAACCCGACTGCAACACTGAGCGTACAACATACGCAACCAACGAACAAACAAAGGCGGAAAACCAAGCCTCTCTAACACACGAAAAACAAAAGCTAACGAAACACGGTCAAAAGCCTTAGACCAATCCAGGCAAAGCATCGCTGCAGACAAGCGAGAGCCCGACACGTACAGAAGCACATCCCGAAATAACGCATTGCACTGCAGTAACGAGCGACCTGGAACACCACAAAACTGTTCCACGGAAACCACAGACGCAACCACACGGCGACACCGACCAGCTAAAATCTTGGACAGGATCTTATAGTCCACATTCAACAAAGTAATGGGTCTCCAGTTCGAGAAGAACCGCAAATCGCCCGGCTTCGGGAGCAGCCGCACAATCCCAACGCACTGAGATACAGGCAGAACGCACCCCCGGAGGCAAGTCCGGACCACCTCCAAAAGAACATCACCCAACACATCCCAAAAGGCAACATAAAACTCGACAGGAAGACCATCCGAGCCCGGCACCTTCCCGGAACGAAATGACCTCACCACACCGAAAAGCTCCCCCAACGAAACATCTTCCTCCAAACCAACACAATCAGCAGCAGACAACCCCGGAGCACAACCACCCAAAAAACCTTCCGC